TCGGTTTGAGTACGCCAAAACCCAAAACTTCTTCTTTAAAAGGAAAATATTATGATCCAACAGCTTCCAAAAATTATAAATCTTGAAATAACATTCAAGCTTTCATGTAGTAAGGAAACCAAAGAAACTGAAGTACTGACAAATTTTACAAGCACAATATTTTAGAGCTTATCTGAAAGTATCAAAAAGTAACTGAGATATAAAGAATGTGAGATGTGTGATTGTGGTTTACAGCTTGTGGCTTGAGCACAAAGAAAAGGCATGGCAAAAAAACCTCTTCCAGTATCTGCTCCAAGCTTTTATTGGATTTCAATAAACCAAATTTTCTTCAAGTTGCTTCCATGAAAAAGAGCGACTAGGGTGATCTCAAAGGCGACTAGGATTTCAACTAAGGTTTCGTGAAGAAGACATTACGTTGGCATGCATGGAGGAGGGCCAGCACTCCTTGCCGACAGGGCTTTTTCCTACTCGTAATCAATCTACTCGACGAACTTCATAGAGGAACTTATTCAATTTAGCTTCCAAAAATCCTATGGTGAATATGTCATTCATGCGAAAATGTAATCAAACTAAAGTACCTCATATTGAAGATGAAGATGTTGAAGACGAAATCGATTTTTGGAATACATCGGTAGTTGGGTATATTATGGGGAAAACCCCTATTCTCCCTTTCTGAAATCGTTTATTAAGAAAAGATGGGGTGTGAATGTGAAAGTAGTGTGTCACAACCCGTATCTGTAGGACCCAGTCCATAAACATGAAAGAAATAAACCCAGCCTTTAGGCTCCCAATTGAACCCAAGTATGGTGGTCATCTAAAATATTCCAAAACCTGTTTTAAGTCCTCATAACACCATTTATCATGCTAAAGCTTCAAAATCATACACAATTCATATCTTTACAAGCACCAAATTGGATAACCATAGCCTTAGTTACATATCATACAAGCGTTACATCAAAGGTGGTACAAGTCCCTCTTGTAGCGTAGTTATATCATTAGATTACATGCTCACAACAAAATATATATAGACATTACTTCATGCATAGCATCAATTTACACCAAAAGCTATGACATGCTAGTATGCACAAGACAAAACAGATTCCAAGCTTCACATGGCAACTTTAAGGATGAGATTGAGGAATCTTTCCCTCCACTTGTTCTTCACCTGAAATGTTGTCAACGGGTGAGCTTAAAATTGCTCGGTAGAGAGGCTAAATAACATTCTCTAAAGTCTTGTAAGCCGTGCTCACATAGCACAAAGTAAAATAAAGAAGAAGAGCTCTGTTGTCAGGGGCTTATTTGTTATTACTTATATAATGTTTGGGCTCATGTGTAATTTTTGAAACTTGTTATTATAAATAGAATGTGGTGGAAGGATGAAAGCATTCTTTCATTCTTTCTCTCTTTCCCCATCTCTCTCTCTTTTTCTCTCATCCGCTTTTTTCTCTTTTTCTTCTTCTTTATCACTTACTCTTGATTTGATTATATCTTAAAGTCAACATGATATCATAGCATGGTTTGTAAAGCTCTAGGTGTAGTTGAAACCCTAGGGCAAGTTTGTGTAAACCCTAGTGAGTGTGAAGGGTTTTGAAGAGATTCCAAGATGGGATTTGTTTGCAAGGAAGTAGTGTTAATCACATCCACACGTTTTTGGACCTGTTTTTTTATCTATTGCAGTCTTGATCAGTGTTTTTTTTTTGTATTCGCGGGGTTCTACAACAACGGCTTTTTCTTCGTTGTTCACAATTCTGGTATAGTCTACTTTGTTGCTTTCTAAGGTTTGTGTGGTGACTGTGTGGTCGCTTTTTTATGCATCTCAGAAGACGATAATCTTTCTAGTTGAAGTTTGTGTGTTAGAGAGGTGGTTCTCTACGTATTTTGTTGTTGTTTTTGTTTCTGAGGATTGTACCCAGAAACTATTTGATAAAATGTCTGGTTCAGAGGTGACTTCAAAAGAAGCTGGGTCTTCTCCTAGTCTGACTCCAGTACTGGGAGGTAGTAGTGATCACCATACAGGACTTTGTATTACGACTGTTAGGCTGGATGAGACGAACTAGATGGAGGGGGCTCAATCTGCTCGTATGCATATCATTGGTCGTAGGATGATCGACCATATCGAAGGGACTGTCACGTATCCCTCCAAGAGCGATCCTGAATTTAAAGAGTGGAGTGCAAATAATGCACTAGTTATGACGTGGTTGTCGCAGTCAATGCAACTACAAATCAACAAAGGGATTTTGTTTGTGAAAACAGCTAAAGAGATATGGACGGCTGTGGAAGAGACGTATTCCTCGGTTGGTAATTTAACAAAACTGGATGAACTCCAACAACAGATTTCAAGATTCAAGCAAGAGGACCAAACTCTTGCTATATATTACCACACTTTACGTGGTAATTGGAAGAATTAGATCACTACCAAGACTACATACCTGTGTGTGCAGCTGATGTTAAAGCATTTCATGCTATCATAGAAAGGAATCGAATCTATGAGTTCTTGGGTGGTCTGCATCCGAGATACGAGCATGCAAGGGCACAAGTGTTAGGCAGGTATCCAGCCCCTACTTCTTTTAGAGATGTGTTTTCATATATCCAGGCTGAGGAGAGTAGAATGAAGACTATGTCTGCACCTGTATACACTAAGCCTGAGCCAGAAGTACCATTGGCTGAGAGGTCTGCTTTTGCCACACAAAAATGGAACAAGCCTAATCCTTCAAAAGGAGGGAAACAGGATGACAAAAGCAAGTTGAGGTGTGATCATTGTGGGCGTACGTGCCACACTAGGGAAACATGCAGGAATCTACATAGTAGCCCTACTCCAGCTCCTGCTAATACTAGGCCAAGGCCTGGTCCATTTAGGGGGTTATCTACGGCACATACTGCAAAGCGTAAGACTGCTTCTACTGGTCATGCTTCCTCAGGGCCACCGAGTTCTTTGTCTGGGGCTGAACTTGATGCTCTCCGACATCTACTAGCACAGCATTCCTCTGTTTCCACCTCTAACTTCGCTCAAACAGGTACATCTCATTTGGCACATCAGGTTTCCACATTATCTAGTGGGCCACCTTGGATCATTGATTCAGGAGCCACTGATCACATGACTGGTATGGCATCTGATTTTTTTTCGTACAGTTTATGTTCTGGTAAGGATAAGGTTAGAGTGGCTAATGGCACCTTCACCTCCATTGCGGGGAAGGGCACTATTTCTGCCTCCCCTAATCTTACCTATTCTCTGTTCTTCATGTCCCAAAGTTTACCAATAACCTCCTTTCTGTCAGTCACATTACAAAAGGCTTGAATTGTAATGTAACCGTTTTTCAATCTCAGTGTTTGTTTCAGGACTTGGACACGGGGAAGACGATTGGAAGTAGACATGAGGACAATGGGTTGTATTTGCTGAATTTGAGGCCAACTTCTTATTATGTTGCAGATCTATCTAGTGTTAGGAATAGTAATATCAATAAAGATTTGTTAATGCGATGGCATAATAGAATAGGTCATTTACCTCTTCCTGTTTTGAAGCATGTGCTTCCCCAGTTCGCTTCTATTGAATCTTTTGAGTTAAATTGTGAAACATGCGTTCTTGCCAAACAATGTCGTGTTTCTTATCCTACTAGTATTAATAAAAAAAAATACAGCTCCTTTGCAACTTGTTCATTTTGATGTGTGGGGTCCTGAATCTACTACTTCGTTAATTGTTTTTCATTACTTTGTTGTGTTTATTGATGACCTTAGTCGATTGGCTTTATCTTATGAAAACCAAAGATAAAGTTCATTCCATTTTTAAAACCTTTCATAGGATGGTATGTACTCAGTTGGTAGTCCCCTCAAAATCCTTCGATCTGATAATGGAGGAGAGTTTATGTATGGTGGTCTTGCCTCTTTTTTTGCTGATAACAGGATTGTCCATCAAACCTCTTGTGCTAATACACCACAACAGAATGGTGTAGCTAAAAGAAAACACCGTCATATTACGGAGGTGACCCGTTCTCTTCTAATTGGGATGGGGGTGCCTAAGTTATTGGGCTGATGCAACCTTAACAGCTACATACCTTATCAATCACATGCCTTCTAAGGTTCTTGGCTATCAATCCCCCTTCTCTAGCTTACACCACGACACAGCCTTGTTTACTGTCCCTCCGAAAGTGTTTGGTTGTGTTTGTTATGTTCACATTCATCATCGCAAGGACAAAATGGATCCTAAGGCAATCCGTTGTGTCTTTCTTGGATACTCTACCACTCAGAAAGGGTATCGGTGTTATAACCCTACCACTCGTCGTCACTTTGTCTCCGTGGATGTTACATTCTTTGAGTCTGTTCCTTTTTTTTCCCCAGCTCAGGATTCTCTACAGGGGGAGACTACTATACAGGTAGGGAATCCGTTGTCATTCAGAGGGAATGCCCCCTTCCTTTGCCTATTCCCATTCAGGGAGAGTTTCTTACTGAGTTGCATATGTCTAGTCCTCCTAACACTAATGATTTGCAGGGAAAGCAGCCAATTGTCTACACTAGGAGGGCAAAACAAGTTATTGACTCATAAGGAATGGACAGGCACCCATATTAGACCTAGAAAGAACATAAGGAATGGACATGTGGCCCTATCAACTGGCGCCACGTGGATGGCTCCCTTCTGCATGGCACATGCTTGATTATTATAAATAGTACAGTGCCATGACGCAAAGGATCATCAAGGCCCCTTCCATAATTGGTCCCTTTTGGCTCTCATTCTGTCCCCTCCAGTCCAACCTTCCTCTTATCCTCTGAAAATTAATTCCAACCAACTGTGGGAATAAATTAAGTCCTGAATTACTACTTTTGAAGAACCCCGTCACAATAAGCAAAGACAAAAAATATCTCATGAATTTTCAATAACTAAGCATGAATGCAATTTCATAATAAGACAAGTACCCAAGGCTACATAAATTTCAGGAAGAGCAAGGAACAGAAATATGTTTTAAAGAAAGAAAAGATCAACTTCCAGAGTTACAATGACTTCCACCCACCTGCAACCCGAAAAGGTACCAGCATGACCCCACTACATGGCCAGACAACACAAAACTGAGAAGATTTATAACGAAATTTGCCCCTGCTGATTCAAATATGAAGCCACTTGGAGACTGACCAACCAGAAAAGGAAGAGACCTATACAACCTGGGAATGTATTGAAAAAGAACTGCGGCACGTAATAGATTCTTAGCATAATTTGCTCCAGATGATCCATAGAACCTCGGTAGGACCAACAATACAATTATCTACAAAATCAAAGGCAATAATTTAAATTAATAGAAGAAGAGTAGATTAAGTTCTCAACAAACTAGAGCTTGCAGTTGTGGGTGTATGCATATATAGATAGAAGGATACATATAACCATTTAAAAATATATATTTATGCTGTATGAAATCCAATATTTTTATGATATGCCTGACAGGAAATACTCTTCAAATATTTGTTTTCAGGAAAATATTATCTCCTACCAAGAAAAAATAAAGTTATATGTGTGTCGTAGTCTACCCCTCACAAAGTTACAATATAGTAGGAAAGAAAAAAAAGAAGGAAAAAAAAAAAAGAATATAACATAATCAGAAATGTGAGACAATTTCCAAGAAGCAGAATGTTATTCTCGTGAAATATAGAGACTTCACTCTTGACTTTTATAATAACCCATTTCACAGAAGTTTGCTAACCTAATGAACTTAATAAATGGGCACAAGGATTCTTAAAGCACATCATATGAAGTTCACTTCTCTAAGATTTTAGCAAAAGTTTTAAGGATTTCACAAGTGTGTTGGAACTACTTAGTTTTGAAACCCAGTGATACCTTCAACTAACTAAAGCCAATACTTAACCCTGTATTTACTTTTTTATTATTGGTCACTGTTATCTTAAAAGATCCTCTGTGACCTATCTCCAGGATCCTACAAAAATTTAACCATTGGAATAAGAATTTCTCACATGTAAAGGTTCACACCATTGCAGGATCCTAATGAGATAACCTCTATCTATAAACCTTCTTACTCCAAACAATCACCCACTCAGGCTCTTCCATTTGAATAGGTCACTGCTGCAGGCTTCTTCCCACGCCAACTCGTTGTTGCCGCCTTGACGCCTCGCTTTTCTCAGTTCCATGCTGTCCTGTATTCTTGTGGCTGTTTTGCTCCTATGACCAAGGGATTGGATACACGCTTTCATGGTGTGCTCAACGGTCAGTGGGAACATTTCGAGCGACAAAAGAAGGAATCTACACAGGAAGTTCCCGGGGAAACTCCCCACTCTCAAAGGTTAATCGTTAAGTACGTCCCGGACATCCAGACCATCCCAGTTGAACAGGGGATGGGATGGGTTCCCACCTGGAAGCAGCTACAAGACAATCACCCATTGGGGTCCTCCAACACCTCTGGTACTGCTCTTCGGCCCTCTTCCTAAGATGGTCACCCACCCCTAGTTACCTTGTAAGAAAATTGCCCAAAAAGGCTCCTTCCAGGATCTTCTATTGTCCGGTCACCGCGCCACTGAACCTGCTCAATGCAGTCACCTCCAGGGTTCTTCGCACCTGGATAGTACCAGGACCCTTATGCCCCAGCCCTTGATCAGATAAAGCTGCCCTCCTGGAGCCCGCCCTATGAACCACAACAATAAATGAGCCTTGGGACGAGACATCTTTCTGCACTACAAGAGTCACCATTTGCGTGACCAACTCAACTACCATAATACCCTAGTCATTGTCACCATTCCAGATGACAACCAAAACAACAAAATCCATTATCATTCCATTTTACTCTAGTTATATCATCCCTTAGGACCCCAAATTCACAACACAAGCACACACAAAAGTCTCTCAGGCCCATATTTACAACCACAACTCAACATAAGATCATTTAAATCCAAGTTTGACGACCATGACTCAACACAAGGTCCATCTAAGCAAACCTTCTCCCAACACAATACCCAATTCCTCTAACGAGAGCGAAAGGACAGGCACCTATATTAGACCTAGAGGAGGGTTGAATAGGTTTTAAAAACTCAATTAATTACTCATATATATAGAAATTTAATTTCAATTAACTACATTAAACTGAATTTTAAAAATAACTAATCAATAAAGTAAAAATCAATCGAGTGCAGTAAAATAAACAAAAGCATGCGACGCACAAGAACACTGATTTTTACATGGAAAATCTCACAGGAGAAAAACTACTAGAAGTAGTCCAGGCAGGCCAAATCCACTACAAAAGAAAGGGTCTATGTTGTCAGGGCTTATTTGTTATTACTTATATAATATTGGGGCTCATGTGTAATTTCTAAAACTTGTTATTATAAATAGAATGTGGTGGAAGGATGAAAGCATTCTTTCATTCTTTCTCTCTTTCCCCATCTCTTTCTCTTTTTCTCTCATCCGCTTTTTTCTCTTTTTCTTCTTCTTTGTCACTTACTTTTGATTTGATTATATCTTAAAGTCAACATGGTATCAGAGCATGGTTTGTAAAGCTCTAGGTTTGTAGTTGAAACCCTAGGGCAAGTTTGTGTAAACCCTAGTGGGTGTGAAGGGTTTTGAAGAGATTCCAAGATGGGATTTGTTTGCAAGGAAGTAGTGTTAATCACATCCACACGTACCGCGGATTCCAAGTAAGGTTTTTTTTTTTTTTTTATCTATAGCAATCTCGATCAGTGTTTTTTTGTGTTCGCGGGGTTCTGCAACAGCGGCTTTTTCTTCGTCGTTCGCGATTCTGGTATGGTCTACTTTGTTGCTTTCTAGGGTTTGTGTGGTGACTATGTGGTCGCTTTTTTATGCATCTCAGAAGACGGTAATCTTTTTAGTTGAAGTTTGGGTGTTAGAGAGGTGGTTCTCTGCGTATTTTGTTGCTGTTTTTGTTTCTGAGAATTGTATACCCATAAATTGTTTGATAAAATGTTTGGCTCAAAGGTGACTTCAAAAGAAGTTAGGTCTTCTCCTAGTCTAACTCCAGTATTGGGAGGTAGCAGTGATCACCATCCCGGCCTTTGTATTACATCTGTTAGGCTGGATGAGACGAACTATATGGAGTGGGCTCAATCTGCTCGTATACATATCACTGGTTGTAGGATGATCTACCATATCGAAGGAGCCTCCACCGTTGTATTGTATATGAATTGAGAGAGTATTATAAAAGTGATGTAGCCCTTTGGGCTCTTTGTGCCGTGGATATAGGCCCTAGTGGCTGAACTACGTAATATATGTGTGTTCTATTTATTTCATTTATCTCTTAGCTTCCGTTTTATGGTTTACAACATGGTATCAGAGCCTCATTTCTCTTCCTAGGTTCGGACCCCTATTTTGGGGTATTCCCTTACCATCTGAAATGCTGCTAAGGATTTCTCGGTGCTATTTGTGACTTGTTTGGGCTGCCAATTTGTTCGGCAATAATGTTCTTCACCTTTGCCGTGTCTTTGGCAGTTTTTTATTGACTTGTTTGGGCTGCCGGTGTGTTCGGTAGCATTGTGTTCGTCTTTGCTGTGTCTCCGGCAGTTTTTATCGACTTATTTGGGTTGCCAATGTGTTCGGTAGCATTGTCATCACCTTTACCGTGTCTTTGGCAATTTTTTATTGACTTGTTTGGGCCGTCAGTGTGTTCAGTAGCATTGTCTTTGTCTCTGCCGTGTCTCCGGCAGTTTTTATCGACTTGTTTGGGCTGCTGATGTGTTCGGAAGCATTGTCCTCACCTTTGCCGTGTCTTCAGCAGTTTTTTGTTGACTTGTTTGGGCTGTCGGTGTGTTCGGTAGCATTGTTCTTTGTCTTCTCTCCTCTCTCTTCATCATTCACACTTCTTGTTACTCGTCATCTCAATGGCAAGTCGGACATTCATGCTCCAACTTGAGGGGGAGTATTGAAGATTTAATAGAGGAATCAGTGGAGAAATCTTTGAGTAATTGATGTTGTTTCCAATTATTGAAGATTTGGTGTTATAAGAGGAATCAGTGGAGAAATATGTTAGTAATTGATGTTGTTTCCTATTATTGAAGATTTAGTGTTATTAGAGGAATCAGTGTAGAAAAATCCTTCTTGTTTTCTATTTTCTAATTCTTTCCATTCTCATAATTTATTTTCCTGTATAAAGGAGCCTCCACCATTGTATTGTATATGAATTGAGTGAGTATTATAAAAGGGATGTAGCCCTTTGGGCTCTTTGTGCCATTGATGTAGCCCTAGTAGCTGAACCACGTAATATCTGTGTGTTCTACTTGTTTCATTTATCTCTTCACTTCCGTTTTATGCTTTACAACAATAATGATGCCCCGAAAAAGCAGTATCTGGAGGAGGACCCCATACATCAAAATGTATGAGATCAAACATACTAGATGCACGATGCATATGAGAAATATAACTGGTTCTAGTATGTTTAGAAAGCTCACAAATCTCACATTGAAACTTATTATCCTTACAAGCCGTTATTAATGAAGGAAAAGTAGACATAAATACTGAAAGTTTACTTTCAAGGGTTGAAAAGAAAAATCATAAGACCTAGAAACTGGAAGAACAAAGGCTTGAAGCAAGTGGAGGAGGTGTCAGTGGAGGATCCCTAAAGTAGTAGAGGCCATCGTGCTCATATCCCCTGCCAAAAATCCTCTTCAAACACAGGTCCTATAAACACAGTAATGAGGAAAGAAAATCATTGCACAATTTAGTGATTTAGCAAGTTTGCTAACAGATAGAAGATTAAATGCAAAGTTAGGAACATGAAGAACAAATGACAAAATAATATGAGGGGATAGATGAACATCTCCTTTACTACGAATAATGGTGGTTGACCCATCGGCTAGACTAACAGCCTGATTAACAGGAGTAAAAGGAGTAGAAAATATTGACAACTCACCAGTTATGTGATTATTGGCTCCGAAATCCAAAACCCAAGTAGGTTTTCCCAGTTAACATGAAAAGCAGGAGGAGTACCTGTATCTATAGTGGCCATGGGAATAGAAGAGCCAGCCCCGGTAGATAAAGCTCCGAACTGCTCCTAAAGCTGACCAATCTGGGACTGTAACTGATTGAAGTCCTGAAAAGATGGTCGAGGAGGAGTTAAAGCAGAAGGGACAACAATCTGTGGAGTAGTATACCCACCAATAGTATTAGCTACTGGGATAGTGCAGCCACGACCAGAAGGATGATTGCGAGAAAATTTCTACTTTAGCTCGGGATGAAGCTTAAAGCAACGATCTTTACATTACCCGTGGCTCCACAATTTTGACAAATAACCTTTTCTCTGAAAGTCTAGAATTA